TACATCAAATGTGCCAACTCCACCATCCCCTTTTCCCCTGAAACAACAAAGCCGTTTTATCGGACATTTTACTCCCGAAATATGGGGGTTACATCTATAGGCCAATTCAAAATTTGAAAAAAGTTTGGTAAAGGATGTTTTGTTCATTGGTAACCAAGCTCGACCTAAACTATTCGACCTCGAGATCGTCTGTCCTGAAGTTCTTTACGAGGAGGTTGTAGAGGTCGAGGAGAGGCTGATTCTACATAATCACAAGGTAGGATTATACTCTAGAAGATATGTTTTGCAATTTTATATCTAAATAAGCACAAAAAGGAAGTTCTGTGGTAAAACTTTTCTTGATTGATAAATCCCAAACCCCCTTTCTTAGAAATGATTCTATAGAAATTGGCCAATTGACGTGGAATCAGCTGATATTGTTGATAAGCGTCTTTTTTCCATTTTGTAATTGTTTAAAGTAAAACAAAATAAAACTTACGACGGTATGAAATGAGTTTAAAAGATAATAATACTGCAGAAAGTGAATGAGTGAAGATCCAGTTGCAGAGCTTTGACCTGCTTTGACCTGTAAAATGGACTGTAGACGTAATTTCAAGTGACCTTCCATTTTTTAGATTGGAATCTCTGATTCACAACGTTCCCAAGAAAACTGTTATATGTGTAACAATGAGAAAGATATTGCCATTTTCTGCCTCCATATCCTTAATTTCCCTTACTTGTTGCTAATCACTGTATTTGTTTACACGAACCATTTTTATTTTTATCATTTTTGCTTGGACGAAAATTTAAAGGGGACAAGCTTAAATTGTGCATGCTCCCTTAAAATGGGAGGTCGCTTTAAGATGATGCAGACAGTCCTTTTAATGTTTACGAAATGTGATCTGAGGTCAGGAATGAAAACGATGACTTTTTTAAAGAGAAGACTAGAATGATGTTTTGGGGAAGCCATCTACACAGTTTGAATTAATTCACCAATTAATGATACGGGGTGACCTTTGATTTTGCATTTTACTTCAATTTGATTTTTTATAGTTTAGGGTATGAACATTTCTAAGCTTTTGTTTGAATAGCTGCCATTTCTGGTTGATTTTAGCTTGAGAATGTCTAAATATACAGGGTGTCCCACGTAACATGACAGTTTGATTTTAGCTTCAGATTGTCTAAATATACAGGTTGTCCCACGTAACATGACAGTTACAAGACGACTTGAACGATTTTGATATAATTTTCAGCATTTATTTGTCCACCTAATTTTAGAAGTACAATTCTAGATTGCAATCACAAAATACCCCTAGTCCTGCATTTCGAAAATGTGGTCTTCGTTTTTTTGTGCTTTCAATAACACCCGAGATACGAAGAATTCTGTTCAGATTTCGAAAATTTAGCTTTTTTTCTTAAACTAAAATGAATATACTCATCTTTTAATGAAAAATGTCATTCAGGATTTTGTGATTTTCAAGAGAAAAATGTATTAATAAGTGCCGTGAACATCTTTAGGACTAACAAGGACGGTCCATTTATTCCAGAGATTTCTGGTTCTTACTGTACTATTCCGTGTTTAGTGTGAGTTAGATAAATCTGGATGGAAAGATACAATGGGGACTACAGGAGAGAAAATGCACGTCAAGCAAGAGGTCAACAAGTAGGATTCTTTTTTATTATTATTTTAATGTTAATTCATGTTAAGAAGGACGTGACCCTCCATGTAAAGATGACAATGCCGGATTCACAACGATACCCTTCAAACCTTTATATGATCAATAATGTGGAAGTTATCATTGTTTCTTGAGGTTTTAAAGTTTTTGTTTCCAATAATTCTAATACGTTTTCTGTAGTAGAAACATTCCTAAGTAATTCAGAAAGCTTTAAAGGGTACCATTGTTAATTTGACATTGCCATCTTTTTCTCTTGAAATTACGCTTATAGTTCCTTTAAAAAAGTGAAAACCCTTGTTTTTTAGGATTAAAAAAAGTTTTGTTGAAATTGGTTGAAATGTACAATACACATTGAGCTGGGAACTTTTGAATGATAAGCCGATCTGTTATTGACAAATTGTTGAATCTGCTTGGCGGAAGAGAACGAGATTAACTCAGAACCTGTTTATAATCATCAAATATTAGCATCGGTTAATCTAAATTAAGTTCTCTTACTGCTCATTCAACATTTTTAAGCTCTGGTCTATACATTAAGCCTACACCTATGAGCCTCAAACTCTATGTTTCTACAATGCATTGCCAATACTAGGAACCCCTCTTTTCAGGGTGTATGTTTTCTTGAAAAATGAATCCCCCCCTTTGAAACTTAATGTTTCTTCAGAGGGAATTTATTTTGAATTTCTTTTCTGAACCGGGGGGGGGGGGGGGGGGGGATTAATGATATTTTGGGGAAAGTTATTAAATCTTTAGGGTAAAAAGATTTAGTAAAGTAGCCTTTGATGTAAAATTTGTCATTATTTTCTCTCTCGTGCAGGGGATGGGAGTTATTCTTAAAAATATTTACCCCTGCCACATTTTAATTGCATAGTAATACTGTTTTTGGGAGGAATAAAAACAAAACAATGTTTTTTGTCTTTGCAGCACGAAGTTTGTTTACACTGCTCAGAGAGTCTACAGTACACTTATAGTTTAAATGAACTGAGGCCGAATTTAAAGAATTTGAGCTGCGGCTCAAATATGGCTGGTTCCACTAAAAATTGTGTTCAATTGACACGACTCAAATTCATTAATTTCGGACATCCTAATGTTTACAGAGCTGAACTGGAGGAAAAATTGATGAAGTTGAAGGAGAAAGGGATAAACTCCTTGGCCGTAGTCCTCATGCACTCATACATGAATAAGGTCAACATCAAAATCATCCTTATCCTTCAAATTATTCCTCTCTCTCCGGGTCTTTAAAATTATTTTTAGTTCTAACTATGTTTGCACGTGCCTACAAATAATTCAAGTTTTTTTTGCTTAAATTGGAAAAGAATGATTCTAAAGGGACTGTAAACGTAATTTCAAGTAACCTTCCATGCTAAGATGGCAATTATCAATTTCCAGCGGTACCCTCGAAACCTTAATCTCACTAAAATAAACAAGAAATGCTTAAGTCACTTTCGCAGAGAAACCGCAATTATAAATAAACAGTTTAAGCATTAATATCTAAGTAATGCTTGAGCAGACAAAGCTTTCAAGGGAACCATTGTACGACGGGCATTGCCACATTTGCATTGAGGATCATTGAAATTACGCTTNATGATCTTCCAAAAAACATATTTAAACAAAGATTTCCAAATTTCTAAATGTTTCACAAGTTTTAGCGAATTTAGAACAAAAATGTTTGAATTTTTTACTTCATATATTATAAAAATCAGTAAATCATGAAAATATGTTCAGGACCTGGATCTGTATCCGGATTCATTTTTTCCTAGAGCGGATCAGGAATCCGGCTTTGCATCAAAATTAAATGGATCCTTAGCACTGGTTTGATAAATGACTATATGCGCCACTGTTCAGGAACATGAGAATGAGGTTGGGGAGGTTGCCCGGAGGCTGGGATTCACCCATGTATCCTTGTCCTCCGAGGTTATGCCAATGGTTCGTATTGTGCCGCGAGGATTCACAGCCTTGGCAGATGCATACCTCACGCCTTGCATTAAAACATACCTAGGTCGGTATTTTTTCAGCTTATTTTTTGTGGGGGGAGGGGGGTTCTGAACTGATTTGAACTTTTTGACATTTTTAAAACTGAACTAAAACTGATTATTGTAAAATAAACCTAAGCTTGTAAAGAAGAACTAAAACTGATTATTGTAAAAGAAACCTAAGTATGTAAAGAGGAATTAAAACTGATTATTGTAAATGAAACCTAAGCTTGTAAAGAGGAACTAAAACTGATTATTGTAAAAGAAACCTAAGCTTGTAAAGAGGAACTAAAACTGATTATTATAAAAGAAACCTAAGCTTTTAAAGAGGAACTAAAACTGATTATTGTAAAAGAAACCTAAGATTGTAAAGAGGAATTAAAACTGATTATTGTAAATGAAACCTAAGCTTGTAAAGAGGAACTAAAACTGATTATTGTAAAAGAAACCTAAGCTTGTAAAGAGGAACTAAAACTGATTATTGTAAAAGAAACCTAAGCTTGTAAAGAGGAACTAAAACTGATTATTATAAAAAAAACATAAGCTTTTAAAGAGGAACTAAAACTGATTATTGTAAAAGAAACCTAGGATTGTAAAGAGGAACAAAAACTGATTATTGTAAAAGAAACCTAGGATTGTAAAGAGGAACAAAAACTGATTATCTGGTAGTAGAATTTACCTTTGATATTCAAAAGGAATAAACTTAATCCATTCGACTACAAAATACACGGGATTAGTTCTTTCTTAAGGAAACAAACAAAAAAGTTCAAAAGTTGCGATTTCCGTTTTCATTAGAAGTTTTCTTTGTGTTAGATGGCTTCTCTTCTGGGTTCAAGAATAATCTTGAAGGAGCAAATGTTCTCTTCATGCAGAGTGATGGTGGACTCACACCAATGCAAAGTTTTAATGGTTCTAGGGCTATACTCTCAGGTCAGAAAGCTGATTAAATTAGTTAGTTATTTCATTTCTAACTTAATAAATTAGTTAGTTAGTTCATTTCTTACTAAATAAATTAGTTAATTAGTTCCTACTAAATAAATTAGTTTGTTCATTTCTAACTAAATAAATTAGTTAGTTCATTTCTAACTAAGTAAATTAGTTAGTTAGTTCATTCCTAACTAAATAAATTAGTCAGTTCATTTTTAACTAAATAAATTAGTTAGTTAGTTCATTTCTAACTAAATTGGTAAGTTTGTTCAATCCTGACAAAATTAAATAGTTAGTTCATTCCTAACTAAATTAGTTAGTTAGTTCCACGGAATGATGATTGATCTTTTATTTATTTATTTATTTAGTTAATTAGTTAGTTCATTCCTAACTTAATTAATTAGTTAGTTCATATTTAACAAATTAATTATTTAGTTCATTTCTATCTAAATTAATTAGTTAGTTCATTCCTAACTAAATTAATTAGTTCATTTCTAACTAAATTACTTAGCTAGTTCATTCCTAACTAAATTAATTATTTAGTTCATTTCTAACTGAATTAATTAGTTTGTTCATTCCTAACTAAATTAATTAGTTAGTTCATTCCTAACTAAATTAATTATTTAGTTCATTTCTAACTGAATTAATAGTTCATTCCTAACTAAATTAATTAGTTAGTTCATTTCTAACTGAATTAATTAGTTTGTTCATTCCTAACTAAATTAATTAGTTCATTCCTAACTAAATTAATTATTTAGTTCATTTTTAACTGAATTAATAGTTCATTCCTAACTAAATTAATTATTTAGTTCATTTCTAACTGAATTAACTAGTTTGTTCATTCCTGACTAAATTTATTAGTTAGTTCATTTCTAGCATCCATTGATTATTTTTAATTGTGGTTTTTCTTTATAATTGACTTGCAGATTTTATTAGAAGAAAATATAATTTACAAAGAAACAACGATATCTTTTACATGATTGATCAGATAAGACTTAAAGGGTATCGTTGTGAAACAGATATCCAGAATTACATGAAATTACAATGCCTGATTTGATAGGTGCTTGGTTGCGTCATAAAGAGATTTTACCGAGACCAATTTGTAAGGGTCATTTTCCAAGCTGAGATATCAAAACCATTCAGATTACCAAGGGGCTACTTTAAAGTTCCGGACTTTCTAAGGGACTGTGTACGGTATGCACTGAGTGTTTCCATATTTTTTAGACGCTAGGCTTTGTGTCTATGATCAGAGGTTTTTATTTAGATTTTTGATGTATTTTGAAGATTGAAACTTGGCCCTAGGCAAATATTGGTTTATGAAACTGTTACAGAATGAATGACCTCTTGCTTTTTGTATCAGTTGCTTGGAAAGTTTTTGAACTATTTATTTTGAAGTCCCATACTTAGTGATGATGTACATTTTTGGGTACATTTTTGTCCACACTTTCTTTCATGTCAAAATTTCAAAATTGTTTATTCCAAACGCTTGCTTTTTTCACACTATGCCAAATTTTAACAGAAAAAATATAAGAATAAACGAACCAAGAAGTTTTATTAAAAGTCTTATAAAAACGAGAAGAAAAACCGATTATCAACACTACCCACACTCTAGGTCCGGCTGGAGGCGTCGTTGGATACGCAATGACCTCGTACTCCAAACAAGACGACTTACCTGTAATTGGTTTTGACATGGGTGGTACATCTACTGATGTTTCTAGATACGCAGGTACCTTTCCTAACACGGAGACCAAATCCTGTTTCTATGGTTAGGGTTATATGGACGTTATTGTTAGGTACCATGTCCATTATAAAGTCTTGTATAAGCTTCATTTAAAATTTACTAAATCGCAAAAGTTAAGTTTTCATTATAATATAAATATGATGATATACAATATTAGGAATGTTTATTCTTACAGCTCAGAGCATTAAAGAATGGAAATTATCATACTAGTTGAAGAATATTCATTCTTACACGCGGCTCCTTATATTAATCATATCAACATAGATCACATTTGATGTTAACCTAATTATTTTTTTCTGACAACATGGTCACCTCACTTTTTCTTTTTTATTAAAATTTTATGCAATCTTACCTTTTCATGCTCACTTACCTTTTTCATTTTTTAAAGTACTAAAATACCTCAATTCAGGAATTTCCATTTAAATCTTAACCCTAGTCCTGACAGAAGAGTGGAAGGGGGGGGGGGACCCCAACCCCATGTATAAAATGTACATAACCCGCTTTTCTCTCCTCTTCTTGGAAGATTTAGGATCTAATATCGGATCAGCAAACGATTTCTTCTGTAAATGATTTCACTATTTTTATCAATAGAATAAGCAAACCCACTACTATTCTGTACCTCCTCCCCATCTAATAACTCAGAGTACATTTATCATGCTATATTTGAATATAGCATCTTCTTGAAAAAAAAACAAGTAAATGTATTAAAAATCGGTAAACAAACTAAACTAAGGAAACAATAGGTGATATGCATTATTTTCAAATGAAGAATCAACTTTTCTTATAAAAGGGTTTTTAACATTTTAGCATTGTAACATACAGTGATGTCAAAACAATTTATTTGCAACCCTTCATAATGTCAATTGTTCCAACTTGAAGTAGTCGTATTTCACCAGAAGTTTTTTTCAAATATATTTTCTTTGGTGTGTGCTCACGAAACCTCACAAATATGATAAACTATTAATGTTATGAGAATAAAAATGTAATAATAGAATTTTTAAAATCGATGAATCTTGTTTAAGAATTTCCATTATTACATTTTTTCCTCATAAGATGATCATAATATAAATCGACTAGGCTTATAGACCGCTTCGCGCCCATCGTCTGTTTAAATTGTAAACATGTTCTTTTTATATAAATTGAAAACCAACAAAAAATTTCGCGGATTTTAAAAAGAAAATTTCATGGAATTTCAAAATTTTCAAAAATGGATTTTTTGAGTAGCAAACTTTTGAAAATTCGATCATTCATAAACCTTCCCTGGGTTCAGGCAAGGTCATACAAGGTCATACAAAAAATATGGACCAGACCGGTTCAGCCGTTTTTACGTTTATTGGATACAAACGGACAGACAAGCAGACAGACAAGCAAAGTATATACATAGATGAGGTTAAACTGGCGTCCCCCTTGTACTTTTTATTGGATTCTTTACCAACATTAATAAACTTATGTTTTAAAATGTAGACCATATCGATTTATCCATTTCTACATTCTTTTGGATTCTGACAAACCTACTTAAAAGACAAATAAACTTAAAGAAAGGTGTACTTTATTATGATCTATTGATCAGGGGCATATGAGCGTGTATTTGAGTCTACAACTGTTTGTGTATCTATCTTTATAGATATATTTTGATATGATCTATTGATCAGTGGCATATGAGCGTGTATTTAAGTTTACAACTGTTTGTGTATCTATCTGTATAGATATATTTTGATATGATCTATTGATCAGTGGCATATGAGCGTGTATTTAAGCCTACAACTGTTTGTGTATCTATCTGTATAGATATATTTTGATATGATCTATTGATCAGGGGCATATGAGCATGTATTTGAGTCTACAACTGCCGGAGTAACTATCCAGGCCCCTCAGCTTGATGTAAACACTGTTGCGGCCGGGGGCGGGTCTATGCTTTTCTTCAGATCAGGACTCTTTGTTGTTGGTCCAGAGTCTGCCAGTGCTCATCCAGGACCTGTTTGCTATAGGTACATTTGCTCTAAACATCATTATCAACCCATGGGTCAATACAGACAGACCCATAAAACTGTGGTAAAGTAAGACAGCTGCTAGGCTCCAGTTATAGTTTTAGATAGTGCAGTGTACACAGACCCTTTCCACTTGATACGTTTGTTTTTTAGCTACTTTTTAAGTTGATTGCTTTGCAAAATACACGCCAGATTGCCAAAATATCGTCTTCGTTTTTCACAGTTTTCTTGGTCCCACAGTATCAAAGATAAAATATCAAGACAAAACAAAAATTTGTTAGGAAAAAAAAATAATTTGATATGTTCATTTCAAAAAAAGGGGAGCATTTATTAAATCATAGTTTAGGGAACATTTTTTTTGAATTGATCTTTTAAAGGTCTGATTCTAAAGATGCACCTGGAACACATGAATATTGTCCAATTTTGAGTTGTTGATATTTTTTGGGCGATTTATCTGAAAACTTCTCTTTAAAATTAGTTTTTTTGTCCATTATTTGTTTATTTTTAGCGAATTTTTTCTAGATTAATATTTATTTATTTAGTATTTTAAGATGGATTATTTTTGAAGAAATTTTTTTCGTATGCCATTGTGATTTGATCTTCACAAAAACCTAAAGTGCTAAAGGAATATAAAGTTTGTATCACATAATGTTGTAAATCTCATTTCAGGAAAGGAGGACCCTTGGCAATCACTGATGCGAACCTCTGTTTGGGAAGAATTCTTCCGGAATACTTTCCCAAAATATTTGGGAAAACAGAGGACCAACCATTGGATAAAGATGGGACTGTTGCTGCATTTGAGGAGCTAACTAATGAGATAAATGAGTTTAATGGCGGAGAGAAGACTATGAGCAAGGAAGAGGTTGCAATGGGTTATATTGCTGTTGCAAATGAAGCTATGTGTCGACCTATAAGAGCACTCACTCAGGGAAAGGGATATGATACTTCTAAGCATGCATTGGCATGCTTTGGAGGAGCAGGAGGACAGCATGCATGCTCTATTGCCAGATCTCTAGGCATGTCAACGGTTATTGTTCACAAATATGCAGGAATTCTTTCTGCCTTCGGCATGGCACTGGCTGATGTTGTTCACGAGGAACAGGAGCCAACTGCTTTGAAATATGAGGAAGAATCAATGGACGAAATCTCACAGCGAATTAAAGAGCTGGAGGCAAAATGTGTGACAAATCTGAATTCTCAAGGATTTCTGCAATCTCAAATTTCAACGGAGTCATTTTTGCACATGCGATACAGGGGAACTGACTGCGCTCTGATGTGCAATTTGGGAGACGAAAAAGACTTCATGAAAACTTTTCTTTCGCGTTATAAAACTGAGTTCGGATTTACACTCTCAAACAGGGACGTTCTAATCGATGATATTAGGGTGCGAGGTACAGGACAGTCGGGGATAACTCTTACAGAATCTAAAGAGAAGGCATCTGGGGATCCTGTTGTGGAGAAGGAGATCCAGGTTTACTTTGAGAACGGATACCAGACAACACAGGTTTATCTGATGGAGAACCTGAAACCTGGACACACTATTCAGGGACCAGCTATTATCATGGACAGTCTGAGCACGGTGTTAGTAGAACCGCTCTGCAAGGCCAGCATAACAGCAAAAGGTAATTTGGAAAAATTGGGGTTTCTAATTCCTCCTATAGTTCTGTTCAAAGTGAATTATTAAGGAGTCATAAGGAAAAAGAATTAAAATAATATTTGATCAAAAACAAATAAGGCCATAAATAATAAGTTGGCTCAAAAAGATTATCATGTACAATAGATGGCAACAGAAAAATCAACCAACTGCGCACAACATCACAAGTGTCAAATGTAAAAAGAAAGACGATATGTTGTCCAACTAGTTAAAATGATTTCCAAGATTCAGCTTAAAAAAATATAGTCTTTGTAGGAATACGTAAAAAATGTCAGATATCCAAAATCTATTAAATGGAAATACAACTCAAATTACTTAGAGTATAAAATATATTTCCTTTCATCTGTCCGCTTTATTCTGTTTTTTTCTATTCTCCAAAATGACGTGGGGTATTTTATATGTTTACTGTTCAATTACTAAGTTTAGCTAATTTTTGAAAATTTAGACCTCTAACTTTTTGAAACACAGACTGCCATCTACCCTACCCTACATATTCATAAAATAACATTTTTATAAAAAATCAATTTGATTACCCTGTCTTAAAAGTAACAATGTTTTTGAGAGTTTAACAATGTCTACAGTACACATTATAGAATCATACAGAACAACAACAAATATACCAATAAAATACAAAAATGTTTTAATCATTTTTTAAAAATTAAGTGTAGAGCACAAACTCGGTTATCTCTGATTTTAGTTGTCTCTTCGATCTTTAAAGCATTTAGCCATAATCTGTCTTCTTGTTCAGAGGGAACGTAAACCTGGATGTCCCAAGGGGAGGATGGCATCCAGGCACAAAACAAGTTAATTCCTGTCCCCTAAACAAAAAAAATAANAATCAAAATAGATCAATGTTGACAACAAACATGTTCATGTAACTTTACAGAGGAGGGATAAGAGGGTAAAATGATTTTAGGGGGAGGGGAAGGAGAGCAAAAAAAACAATTACCTTGATTAATTTCTTTTCTAGAAAAAGCAACTTGATGGATTTAAAAAAAAATTAGATTTTTAATTAGTTTAATTTTAATTTATAAAGAAAACTTACTTTAACCGTGAGTTCGTGATATTTATAAGTTTCATGTCGTCCTTACAGTCTCATCCTTTGTGGGTAACATTGTACATAGATTTTCCATTAGTTTCATAATTCAAACACTAATTTTTAAATATCTTATGTGTTCCCAAAAATTATGAAATAAGACATTTGATAATAATTTAAATCCCCTTGAAAGACGACATTTCATTTGTAAACTACCTTTTCTTTTTACCTGCATTTCCCCGGACCCTCCTTGGGGGTTTAATCTGGATTAAACATTTCCAGTGGACTTCCCCTAATATCTCATTAAACATTTCTTAAATATGTTTTAATGTAATATATCCAAATTTTTAATGTAATGTAATTTTAATGTAAAATATCCAAATCCAATGTTATATGATTATTTACAATATCAGTTTTAGTCAAGAGGACTTTAAATGAAAAAGTATAAAAACAGAAAATATAAAACACATTCAATTGCACTGATTTCACTGAAAGATACTTTTGTCTAAAATTATCACTATAATTTATAATATTTTCTCAGATTCACCGACAAAGGGTCAAACGACACTGGGTCAAACGACAAAGGGTCAAACGACAAAGGGTCAAAAATCCTAAATATTAATAAAAAATACTAACTTTAAAAATTAAAAAAAAATTTGCCCCTTTGTCGCATTTTTTTACCCTTTGTCGTTTGACCCTGTGTCGTTTGACCCTTTGTCGCATTTTTGACCCTTTGTCGTTTGACCCTGTATCGTTTGACCCTGTGTCGTTTGACCCTGTGTCGTTTGACCCTGGGTCGTTTGACCCTTTGTCGGTGAATCTTTTCTCACACACAACACTGAGTTGACACATTACGTAGATACAGCTGAACTGAAAGTGTACATATTCTGTGTTGCCACCTATTGTACTTGATAATCTATATGAGTTGGCCTTTTAATATAAAATCACCTATGCAATTGCAAACAGGTTAGATTATTTGTTATTTACGGAAAATAGATCGATTCATAATTTTCTCTAAAATGATTAATGATTGGAAGTTTTAAACCGAATATACGGCAAGAATGGAATGAACATCGCTTTAAGTCCGAAATAATAGAGCAAAAAAATTCTCAAAGTGTTCAAAGAGTTGTTCTTATTTATCTAGAAGATATCAGAATTCATTTTGGAGCAGATGATTCTAAAAGGGTTGGAGTTAAACTGATAT